CATGAATAGGCTGGGGAGGGGGAGGAATCTTCTAGAAACATGCATATGTTGTATACTAGCAGATGACATCTAGAAAAGGTATTTGAAAGACACCTGAAACTTGTTTTTTTTTTTTTTTTTGTAGGTTAACTAGCAAGTCTAATATTTTAGAAAGGTAATTCTTCTAAAGGACAATTTTTGTACTCCAGACTATCTTGATTGTCAAGGTGTACAAACTATAATTTTAAAATTTATACTGTCACATGATTGTAAGTTTTAGTTAAGTTAGGAATCAGTGAAAAGCTATGTATGCTGGATATGGGTCAAAAATGATGATTATTTGCAAAAAATTTATAAAGAAATGGGAAGAAAAGATACTGCAAGACTCAGATACTGGTTGGAAATAATCTTCAAGTTACCTCAATCTCCCATTGTTTTCAGTTTCTCAAAAAGAATGAATGAAATGAAATATAGCAGAATATTAACCCATATAAAGAGGCTTCCCTGATGGCTCAATGGGTAAAGAATCTGCCTGCCGTGTAGGAGACACAGGAATTGTGAGTTCGATCCCTGGGTCAGGAGGAACCCTGGAGGAGGAAATGGCAACCCACTGCAGTATTCTTGCCTGGAAAATCCCAAGGACAGAGGAGCGTGGGGGGCGACGGTCCATGTGGTATCAAAGAGTTGGGCATGACTGAGTGAGCACGAAAATAAAGTGCGTCCGAATATTGTAACGTAAGAAAAAAAGAAATAGGATCTTTGCAGATGAAATTGAATTAAAGATCTTGTGATCAGATTGTATTTCAGACCCACCCTAAATTCAATGACAGGTGTTTTTTTATAAGCCACACAAAAGGAGACCACACCAGTGGGGCCGAGGAGACGGTCATTGAAGACAGAGGCAGAGACTGTAGTTATACTGCCCCAAGCCAGGGAACAACCAGGGTTATGGCAGCTACTACAAGCCAGGAGTGAGGTGTGGAGCCTGTCCTTCCTCCGGCATCCAGAGGGAACCGGCCTGTCAACACCTTGATTTTGGACTTCTGGCCTTGTCTTATTCAGCTCTGGCTGTCATAACAAAGCACAACAGACTGGATGGCTTAAACAACAGAAATCAATCTCATCACGGTTCTGGAGACTGGAAGTCTGAGCCTCGTGTGCTGGCCTGGATGGGTTCTGGTGTGGGCCCTCCTCCTGGCTGGCAGGCTGCTGCCTTTTCACTGTGGCCAGCACATGGCAGAAAGAGTGACAGCCAGCATGCTCTCTGGTGACCCTCCTTAAAAGGGCACTAATCCCATTATGAGGGCCCCACTCTCAGGACCGCATCTAAGCCTGAACTCCACAAAGCCCCGTTTTCACATACCATCGCCTGGGGGCTAAGGGCTTCAACCTGAGAATTTTGAGGAGACACAAGGCAGGCCATAGCAGAACTCTGGAGCTGTAAGAAAATAGCTGTCTGTTGTTTTAGGACACCCCAGTTTGTGATGACGACCTTTGGAGCCTGAGACAGCAGTCCTCCCAACTCTCCCAGTGCCCTTCCTCAGTGAGACCACCAATCCAAGAGAAGATTTAGGGGCTCAGTGGGGCCAAGGCAGGTCATGTGCTGGGGGACAGCTGAGGATGTGGGCAAGTGGTGTGACAGCAGCCTGGGCATCCTGGGTCCAGCTTCAGTGGCCCTGGGAGGATGGACACTGGGCGGCTGGGGGCTGTCATCAATGCGCCTGGCCTTTGGCTACATCACTGAGGGTGGGGGCCTGGCCATGCACTTGGCGGAGATTTATCAGCAGGAGCCCTTCCTGGGTTTCCTCCTAGGCTTGCGGCCTGGGCCTGCAGGAGGCACTGGGCCAAACAGCCCAACACCTGGCAGCCATCCTGGGGAGGCATCCAGGGTGCAGCGGTCCTAATAGCAGGGGCCACATTGCACGTGGTAGGGCATGGGGCCTCATGGTAGTGCCCGTGGTTGGCCCTGGGGACGCTCCAGCGCCCGTCTGGTACTCAGAGGAGCCGCCCCACCAACCTCACTCAGAGAATGACCACACACTGACATCAAATGCCTCCTGTAGTCTTGTGCCTGGAACCTACCTGGAGAAGAAAAAGGAAAGGTGGGGGCTGTTGGAAACTGCAGCTCTAAGTTGAAAATTTTGAGGTCACACCCCCATCCATGTGCCTCCATCCTCGAAGATGGAGAGACAGTCCAGCTGCTCCCAGGAGGCCAAGCTGACCTCAGCAAACCAGCCCAATGGGGCCGGAGCCCTCTGCACTCAGCAGTGGAGACCTCAGCAGCTGACTTGGGAGAGATGGTCCTGAGGGCAAGGTTGGGCCCTGCTGCCCGCTTGTAGACATCTACACAGGCCCCGTGCACAGCCCTGATCCTGCACACCTCCTCCTTGCCTGCTTCCTCCACTCAGGGAGCGTCTGGATCTGAGAAAAGGATGACAAACCCAGTTTCCGCAGTTCAGTTCAGTCACTCAGTCATGTCCAACTCTTTGAGACCCCATGGACTGCAGCACGCCAGGCCTCCCTGTTCATCACCAACTCCCAGAATGTATTCAAATTCATGTCCATCTAGTCGGTAATGCCATCCAACCATCTCATCCTCTGTCGTCCCCTTCTCCTCCTGCCTTCAATCTTGCCCAGCATCAGGGTCTTTTCCAGTGAGTCAGTTCTTCACATCAAGTGACCAAAGTAATGGTGTTTTAGCTTCAGCATCAGTCCTTCCTATGGATATTCAGGAGTGATTTCCTTTAGGATTGACTGGTTTGATCTCCTTGCACTCCAAGGGACCCTCAAGAGTCTCCTCCAACACCACAGTTCAAAAGCATCAATTCTTTGGCNTCCTGTATGGATATGAGAGTTGGACCATAATGTGGCATTGGAGGAGATTCTTGAGGGTCCCTTGGAGTGCAAGGAGACCAAACCAGTCAATCCTAATGGAAATCACTCCTGAATATTCATTGGAAGGACTGATGCTGAAGTTGAAACCCCATTACTTTGACCACCTGATGCGAAGAACTGACTCACTGGAAAAGACCCTGATGCTGGGCAAAATTGAAGGCAGGAGGAGAAGGGAACGACAGAGGATGATGTGGTTGGATGGCATCACCGACTCGATAGACATGAGTTTGAGTAAATTCTGGGAGTTGGTGATGGACAGGGAAGCCTGGCGTGCTACAGTCCATGGGGTCTCAAAGAGTTGGACACGACTGAGTGACTGAACTGACCTGACAAAGGCTTTAGCATAGTCAATAAAGCAGAAGTAGGTGTTTTTCTGAAACTCTCTTGCTTTTTCGATGATCCAACGGATGTTGGCAATTTGATCTCTGGTTCCTCTGCCTTTTTTAAATCCAGCTTGAACATCTGAAAGTTCTTAGTACACACACTGTTGAAGCCTCACCTGGAGAATTTTGAGCATTACTTTGCTAGCGTGTGAGATGAGTGTAATTGTGCAGTGGCTTGAACATACTTTAGCATTGCCTTTCTTTGGGTTGGAATGAAAACTGACCTTTTCCAGTCCTGTGGTCACTGCTAAGTTTTCCAAATTTGCTGGCATATTGAGTAGCAGTGGGGAAGCCTCAGGGCGGGTGACTGTGTGATTCAAAAGGAAAGGTGGCAGCCCGGGGGTGGTGTGCGTCAAGGAACACAGGCAGGTGTGAAGCAGGAGAAGAGATGTCATGCTGAGTGTTGAGACTGACCTTAGGCAGCAGCGTATGGAGAACTCAGGCAGTAGAGAGCAAGTGTCCACTCAGAGCCCCATCAGCACAGACTTGCACTGGCTGGTGAGAAGGACTCAGGCAGTAGTGGTTGAAAATTGAGGCAAAGGGTGGAGGCAGACCTTAGACAGAGGTGGAGACAATGGTCGTAGTGATTGGCAGGCAGAGGTGGGGGCAGGTGATTTGGGGGAGCAAGAGATGAGTTCTTGTTGTTGGGGGGGTGCTCAGTGGCTCTGCCCCTTTAGAACTGGAGCAGACCTAGAACTCAACAACAGCAGCGAGAGAAATGACCTTGAAAGTGGTGAATTGAGAACTAGGAACAGGGAAACTCAGGCTTCAAAGCAAGACCCAGTAGTTAGGGTGTGAGGGGAGACCTCTGGCCATGGGCAGGGAGGCCGCCTGAGCGCCTCTGCCCTGCCCGTCACCCCCATAATGAACACATTGGCATTGTGGTCCACAGTGATTGGAGCCAAAACCAAATACCTCCCACCTCAGCCCGAAACTTCTCACCATCTGATTTAATTGTTCATACATTTTCCAATTTAATAAAATCACAGTTCTGACAACTAGAATAGAAAGGAAAAAACAATGTAGGGATTCAAAGTCTGAACAACTCCTCCTTCCATTTTCAGTCTATAACAGCCTCCCTACTCCCCATCCCCAAGAACACTTGTCTTGTTCCAGTCTGAGGATGCTCCTTATTTTCCCCAAAGTCACCCCTTTATCCAGACACACTCATCGATAAAGCCACACGGGGGCAGGCCAGGGCTGGGTGCTCACCTCTGGGGGGACAGATCCCAGAACTGTCTGTCTCCCCTCCCATTTCATCAGGAAATCAGCCCTTAATGAAGGGAAGTGAGTCCAAAGGTGAAAAGTCCTCAACTTGGTGACAGATTGATGGAACAGGTATTTAGGGGCTGATGGAGCTTCACACAGTGAAGCTTTATCGTACCTACTCGGGGCCTCCCTGCTGGCTTCCAGGCCAGAAGGTGAGCAGGGAACATGTTGGAAGGTCTCACTGTTGGAGGACAAATGGGCTATTTGATATAAAGGAAACAGCATGAGAGCAGGAATTAAGAGAACTGATTTGTCACTAATAGCTCTGTGACCTGAGGGAAGTCACTGATCAGGGAGACTCAGTTTCCTTGTCCTTAGAATGGACGTGACTTTTAAGTTCCTTCTCTGAATCATGAGTGAATCCTGGGGGACTGCGATAAATTAGGCAAGCAGATTTAGGTACTGAATCTCTCTTCCTCTTTTTAAAATCTAATTGTTGTAAAATATACAGAACATGAAACTTACCAATTTTTTACTTTTTATTATGATCAAATGCACATACAATTCACCATCTTAACCATTTTTAAACATTCAGTTCAGTGGCATCAAGTACATTCACAATGTTGTACACCCACCACAACTATCCACTTTCAGAACTTTTTCATCATCTCAAACTGAAGCTCTACCTACTAAGCAATAACTCACCCCTCTCCCCAAACCCTAGTAATTGCTATTCTGTCTTCTATCTCTATGAATTTGACTGCTCTAGGTAATTCCCATAAGCAGAATCATATAATACTTGTCCTTTCAGATCTGGCTTATTTACTTAGCATAATGTTTTCAAGATTGATCCATATTATAGTATTTATAAAAACTTCATTCCTCCATACATTTGCTCTTATGCTGATGGACATGGGTGGTTTTTTATCTTTGGGCTATTATAAATAATTCTGCAGTGAATATTGGTATCCAAGGATCTGTTCAAGTCCCTGCTTCCAGTTCTTTTTGGGTGTATGCCTAGGAGTGGAGTGGGTGAATCATATGATGATTCTATGCCTAGTTTTTTGAGGAAATGCCAAACTGTTTTCCCTTTAGTTTACTCGTAAATGAGGTACTCAATCCTGCCATGGATGTGTCATGGGGAATGCCAAGGAGACAGAGATTGAAATCGCCTGAGTTCACAGGTCGTCTGGTGCTGCCATTCCCCACTCTCTCTGCTACTGATGTGGATCAGATGTGTTCTGGGGATGATGGTCTTTACTGAGCCCAGGGCTGTACATTTTCCAGTACTGGGGTGCACTGCCTGTGGCCAGTAGGTTGCTATAAAGAAAGGAAATAAATTTCCTCTCCTACTTGTGTGTCCAGAATTGTAGAAATGATGATATGGGCACACATTTGTGATTTCATTCATAGAACTAGAACCTCGAACAGGATTGGGATAAAGACTGGGGGAAAGGCAGGTGCTTTAATTGGGAAGGCAGGAAGATGGCTAATACTAGGACTGAACCTCTCGAAAACACTGACCAGAGTCACAGAACGGCCCAGATGGAGCCAGGGCTGATCCAAAGAGCAAGTGAGCGATGAACCGGCCCAGCTCAGAGCTACTTTGAATCCACAAGATCTGGGTTCAAATGTCAGTTCTACTTGCTAGTTTGGATAATGAACTTAACTTCCCTCAAGTTCAGTTTTCTTATCTGTAAACTAGGGACATTTACAGAGTTATGAGGATAAAAAAGAAACATACATGTGATCCCATCCCACAGTGCCTGGCCCCACACTCCAATCAGGTTAGTTACTCTTTTCCCTCAAACCCCAAACATCAAACTCAGGTGCTGTGTTAGATTGGGAAGACATTCCCTCACCTCCAAATTCCCTCTCAAAACTTGGGTTTTTGAGGCAGTTTGTATTTTGGTGGCCATTCTAGAATCTCCCTGTTGTCTTTCTATTGCTTTCCTTCTCTCCAAGTCAAATGCTTTATCTTTGGGGGACTGGCAGATGGGGCTTTTTTAGTAAGTACAAAACTGACTATTAAGCAAAGAATAGACTCTTTGCTTAAAATTTAAAAAAAAATTTTTTTTAACTAACAGAAAACCTCAATTATCATAGGCAAAATTCTTCCAGATGCTGCTGGAAATGAATGCCTTTTGTAGCAATCCAGGTTCACTTACTGCAAAGGATTCACGCTCCAGGCAGCCACAGCAGGAGTGAAGGGAGAAGCAATGTGAACACACTTGGAGGCCATAACCTTATGTAAACATAAACCGTTGCCATGAATAATAAATACAGAAAATTAAATATCTGATAAGTGAGCATGTATCCAACTAGACAGATCTCCCTGGCGCGGAGGTTCAGCCCAGCTTTCCACTCATCCTTGCTGATTTAATTCAATGAGCCGACCTGCAAACACAGCCAGGGTTCCGATGATGCAGACGAGCATGAAGACTGCCAGGAGAATGTGGTCCATCACCATCGCAACATACTTCCATTCCTCAGCCGCCTGGGAGAGAGGAAAGTGTCAGAATGTCCTGAAGGTGATCGCGGCCTCGCAACATTCATGCTATCCGTCATCCAGGGGCCCTTTGACTGTGGATCCTCCCTCCACTGGCACTGTGATCTTTATTTTTAAAAGAGGTTATTCACAATGTGATGACTTGCTAAGATGGCCTAGGGAGTCATCAGGCACATCTTACATCACTAACTGCCCCTTGAATGCCAACCTTCCCATCAAGCTAAGCTCATCAGATGCTCTGTGCTTGAGCACATGACCATTTAAACCCCAAGGTGCAGATCTCAAGTCACAAAGCTTACGTTATTGGACTCCTGGTCCGACTTCATGGTCTCTGCGATGTATTTGATGCCCTCAATGGCACTTTTCACCTCGGGGTGTTTGATCAGGGGAGAGTGGAAACCCATTGGTGGAGGCCCTGGCTTCCCAGAAATGTCAGAAATATCAATGTCTTCTGTAAAAATCTTTTTGTCTTGTTTTTCTCTGGATGGTCTTTTCATCGTGGAGAAGAACATGATATTTGGGATAGTGTCGATAAAAACCTAATACAAAAGAAGTCCAGGTATGGGAATTATTGTCAGCAGAGCAAGCATCAAACTATGATTTTGAGTAAGCAGTGAGACCTTAGGCAAGTCATTCAGGTTCTCTAGGCCTCAGCCACTTTTGTCCCTAAAACAAAAGGACCATACTAGATTTTCTCAGATTCATCTGTGTCCTGTGGCCTGTTAAATGACTAAGGCTAATAGAGATGATCCTGTAATGCCAGCAGTTGGCCACTGGAGGGAGCCAGTGTGCAGCTATTGGACTCCTAAGAAACCACTGATGCTTAAGCTTCCAGACCCCCTATAAGCCCCTGCTTTCTTCAAAGCCCCTATTCTCATGACCAAAAGATTAAAGGGCCCCTCCTGCCAAAAACCAAAAAATTAAGTTCCAACCCCACAAAACAGCTAGACTGTTTTCTTCTGTTTCTTGTTCCTGAAGAAATACAACATAGGAATTTCTGCATTCATGCTCAGTCATGGTGACCAACTCTTTGTGACCCCATGGACTGCAGCACTCCAGGCTCCTCTGCCCATGAGATTCTCCAGGCAAGAATACTGGAGCGGGTTGCCATTTCCTCCTCCAGGGGATCTTCCTGGCCCAGGGATCAAACCCAAGTCTCCTGTATCTCCTGTACTGGCAAGCAGGTTCTTTACCTCTGCACCGCCTGGGAAGCCCTATAGATATTGCTAGGAGAATAGCAATAGGCTTAACAGCCTTTAGAGAAGCAGAGACTACTTATCCTCCCCAAAGAATGCATTGCAAGCGGTAGTTTCTCTGTCAGTTTATGACAAATCTTTTGCATTGTGCACAAAAGCCTGGACATTAGTGCCTGTGTGAATGTGTGTGAAAGAACTGATATACCTGAAATGTTAACACATTTTAAAATTCAGTAAAATAAATATATGAGAGCAAGTTCTTCATTAAAACTTAACTTTTTGACAACCTCTCATCAAACCCAGCCACCCCGCCCCCCGAGTCTCCAGCCCTAGTCTCAGCAGATGATTCCACCAGCAAAGAAATAATCAGTCTGTTCACATACAAACAGGTCAAGATTTCATGGTATTTGAATTAAAAGACAGTGATTTGTCTTTTCTAATCAAAGAGATTCTTAAAGGTTGACATTGAAGTGGGCTTCGTTAATTCTGGTTTTCTTATCTCCTTGGAGAGGCTACATGAGTTATTTATCTTCAGCCAGAGTCCAGAAAAATTCCTCCCGCAAAGCCCCTACAGCCCAAGAAAGCCTTTTTGTTTCTAAGTACCTAGCAGGGTTACCTAGGACGCTACTGGCCAGATGGAAGGGGAGACTTGCAGATGCCCTGGAGGGAGCGGCTGCCCCGAGCAGAGCGTCCCAGTGCCTTACTCACCTTCCGCACCCACTCGGGCATGACGTGGGTGCTGGGGGAGCGGTGGTGCGTGTTGATGACGATGACGGTGATGATGATGGATGCGATGACGAACACCATGGTAAACAACATATACTTCCCAATCAAGGGCACGGCGCTAGAGGTGGAAGGGATCAGCTCCACAATGACCAGAAGGAACACGGTCAAGGACAGCAAGACAGAGATGCTGAGGGTCATCTTCTCTCCTAGATGAAATGAAGAGGAGACAGACACAACCTGTTATGGGCTAAACTGCCCTCCCCCTGCCAAATCTATAGGGCTTCCTAGGTGGCTCAGCTGGTAAGGAATCTGCCTGCAATGTAGGAGACCTGTGTTTGATCCCTGGGTGGGAAGACCCCTGGAGGAGGGCATGGCAACCCACTCCAGTATTCTTGCCTGGAGAATCCCATGGACAGAGGAGCCAGGCAGGCTATAGTCCATGGGGTCACAAAGCATTGAACACAACTGACAGTAAACTTATTTGTTGAAGCCCCAAACCCCAGCACCTCAGGGACTGTATTTGGAAACAGGGCCTTTACAGAGGTAATTAAATTAAAATGAGGTGTTAGGGTGGGTCTTCATCCAATAGGACTGGTGACTGGTGTCCGTATCAGAAAAGATTAAGACACAGACAGAAAAGGCCATGTGAGGGCACAGGGAGAAGACAGTCATCTGCCAGCTAAGAAGAGAGGGTTCAGAGCAAACCAATCCTGCTGACACCTTGACCTTGATTTCCAGCCCCCAGAACTATGAGAAAATAAATTTCTGTTGTTTAAGCCACCAGCCTGGGGTCCTTGCTAGGCAGCCCTAGCAAATGAATACAGCAGTGAAACCCAAGGGTGAGGAAGGAACGTGACTGGCCTGTTCTTAAAGCCTCACACTGGGGAGTTTTTTCCTGCAGTGTTTCCTGTGAGACCCTGGCACCTTAACTCTGCTGACAATGGCAAGTGGCTGGTGTTTCCATCAGCTGCTGCCAAGCAGGAAATGCTACTTCATCTCATGCCCCAGAATTCTATTTCTCGGTGGAATCCAGGGAAACCAGAGAGGTTCTGGGTGGCAAGTGAGAACCCAGATGGCAGTTTTCCTGTCTGCAGCAGAACATCTTAAACCTCACAAAACTGAATCACAGCCTGGCCTACTTGTTACTCAGCAGATGGATGTGTAAGTCAGAAGTACATGTATCTTTCTCACTGTGGACGCAAGCTGCAAGACCAATGCTGAAAAAGGACAAAATCAATGATTTCACACCACCCAGTTTCTCATCTAAGGGGATGACTTGTTTTGTGTGTGTGTGTGTTTTGATATTTTTGTTTTTGTTTTCATGTTAAGGGCCAAGGGATTCCCTCTCCCCTGAATCTTTTCCCCAGGCCCTTCAATTTCAGGGCAGACAATTCCCGGCTGGTGTCTTGCCTGGACAAGTAAACAAGAAAGCCAGGGAGTGAATGACACTGGAATAGTTTTGTGGGGATTGATCAGCTCAGAGGAAGTAAAGAGCCTTTGGAAGGGACTTTCCTTGGGCTGGTCTTGCTGTTTGTGTCCTGGGAAACCCTCATGTGGCCCTGCTTTCCAGTGTGGAACTTTGCCCATTCTGGATGCTTTCAGATATTAGTGATATACCCAGGATCCAGAGTGGAGGCAAACAAGAAGTTGTCAATTTCTGGTGGATAGGAAAGTCTTCAAAAGTAAAAAAGGAAACAGAATTATAAATGTAAAATATGGATCCAAGTACATCAAATTTCTCGATTAATGATAATAGTAGCTAACACTTATCAAACTCTCACTGCTCTAGATGCTTTTCTAGCATAAATCGTCTAATATTGATAGAAACTTTGTTTAGTTTCCATAGTGTCCCGCCTAGAGTTTTCTCTCTTCACTTTGAGAAACTTCATTTGATTAGAAAGTTGAAAAAATATTTGTGACCATTTGTTTAAGAACAAATACAATCCCCTAGAACATACATTCTGTAGGGGCAAATTCTGCCTTATTCTTTACCTTATTCCTGTCTTGCAACAGTTGTTTAAAAGGTATATGATGAGTGAGTGAATGTGTAAGCTTTTTTTTTTTCCTTCCTTATTGGAAAGTTGGATTTAGACTTTTGTGGGAGTTTTTCTGTGGCATTTTGATACAATTGTTTTCTGGCATAAGTTTGAGGACTATCTTACTATCTTTTTTTTCTACTTGTCTGCCTTACATTGTTTGAGAGCAATGACTTGCTGGCAGACATGTGTGTTTCCTTTCCCCCTTTTCTCTAGAATGTTGGTGTCTGGTGAAATTATGTCACAGATGTGATTACTCAGTAGGAGACCCAGGCTGATACAGGAGACAGAATTGCCACTTGGGAAGTATTGTGTTATGTGTAAAGATACTGCCATCTGGAGAAGAGATACACAAAAGCTATTTTCAAGCAGCAAGCACTAGATAAAAGAGGCAAGACCTGGGTTAGTCATAGAGAGCAAGTGACTTCAGGCGGGAAGGGGCCCTGGGAGTGTCTGTGATCCATGCCTTGCCCAACATGTTTCAGGGCACACAGCAGGTATTCAACAAATAGGTGCCGGTGGTTATTCACTTAACCAGAGCGGTGTGTGGGCATCTTCAGGGCACATTCGGCTCTCTGCCCGCCCTGCTGTCTGCCCCAGTGGCCTTCACCCCTACACATGGCCACTCAGGGCACGCATCCTTCCAGGGCTGCTGCTTTGGGTCTGTCTGCCTGTATTTGTTTATCAGCCATGGTTGTTTTCGGCTTCCCCTAAAATAGCAGCGCGAGATCCATCCGCGGCAGCAGCCGCCGCCATGGCAACCGCACCCACCTGAGTCCGTGGGCAGGTAGAACACCAGGCCGGTTAAGAAGGAGAAGAGCAGGCAGGGGATGATGACGTTGACGATGAAGTAGAGGGGCAGGCGCTGCATGACAAAGTGGTAGGTGATGTCCAGGTAGGGGGTGGAGGGGCAGCAGGCGTAGAACACCCAGTGCTTCCAGCCCCGGGACTCCTTGATCACCCATTCTCCACTCTCCATGAAGTTGCTCAGGTCTGGCTGGTCGCTTTCCTGAGAAGACGGAATGAAACTTTGAAATCCCAGCCTTGTCACCATGAGGAGGGGCAGGGTTTCCTAATCAGCTGTGACAAAGCAACAGATTCCAGTGCTGTCACATACCTAGGAGGGAATCTTGTGTATGTTCCTCTCCTATAAAAGGAGGGGGTTGGGGGCTTTCTTGGTAGTCCAGCAGATGGGACTTCATCCTCCAATGCAGCGGGTGTGGGGATGATTCCTGGTTGGGGAGCTGGAGTCCCACATGCTGCTCTGCCAGGGAACCAAAACACTACAGAGGTGATATTGTACCAAATTCAATAAGGACTTTGAAAATGGTCTACATCCCAAAAAATTCTTTAAAAAAATAAAAAATAAGTGGGTTGGGACTGTTGGGAATTTTTCCATGTTGACTATATATTCAAGTCACCTGGGAACTTTAAGAATTGCAAGGAGAAAAAAAAAAAAAGAATTGCAAGGAGAGACAAGAAAGCTTTCCTCGGTGATCAGTGCAAAGAAATAGAGGAAAACAATAGAATTGGAAAGACTAGAGATCTCTTCAAGAAAATTAGAGATACCAAGGGAACATTTGATGCAAAGATGGGCTCAATAAAGGACAGCAATGGTATGGACCTAACAGAAGCAGAAGATATTAAGAAGAGGTGGCAAGAATACACAGAAGAACTATACAAAAAAGATGTTCATGACCCAGATAACTGCAATGGTGTGAACACTCACTTAGAGCCAGACATCCTGAAATGAGAAGTCAAGTGAGTCTTAGGAAGCATTACTACGAACAAAGCTAGTGGAGGTGATAGAATTCCATTTGAACTATTTCAAATCCTAAAAGATGATGCTGTTCAAGTGCTGCACTCAATACGCCAGCAAATTTGGAAAATTCAGCAGTGACCATAGGACTGGAAAAGGTCAGTTTCCATTCCAATCCCAAAGAAAGACAATGCCAACGAATGTTTAAACTACCACACAATTGCACTCGTGTCACATGCTAGCAAAGTAATGCTCAAAGTAATGCTCAAAATTCTCCAAGCCAGGCTTCAACAGTATGTGAACCTTCCAGATGTTCAAGCTGGATTTAGAAAAGGCAGAGGAACCTGAGATCAAATTGCCAACATCCGTTGGATCATTGAAAAAGCAAGAGAGTTCCAGAAAAANTTGGAGAAGACTCTTGAGAGTCCCTTGCAGTGCAAGGAGATCCAACCAGTCCATTCTAAATGAAATCAATCCTGAATATTCATTGGAAGGACTGATGTTGAAGCTGAAAGTCCAATATTTGGCCACCTGATGCAAAGAGCTGACTCATTTGAAAAGACTCTGATGCTGGGAAAGATTGAAGGCGGGAGGAGAAGGGGATGACAGAGGATGAGATGGTTGGATGGCATCACCGACTCAATGGACATGAGTTTGAGTAAACTCCAGGAGTTGGTGATAGACAGGGAGGCCTGGCGTGTTGCAGTCTATGGGGTCACAAAGAGTCGGACACGACTCAGCAACTGAACTGAACTGGGAGCTTTAAAACATATTGATGCCCTAGCTCCACCCTAGGCTGATTCGATCAGATTTATTGGGCTTGAGCCTGGGCATAGGAAATTATGTAAGCCCCAGATGGTTCTCTTATGTAGCATGTCAAGAACTTGCCAAGCAATTGAAAAGCAGGAAAGTAGATGATCCCCAAAGAGCTAATGGATGCAGTGAGCCTGCGATAATGGAGAGGCAGAGTTGAAGACCTAAATCTTGCTTTCCCTGCATCCAAACTCCTCCCAAGGGGTCGCCACCTACCGGGTTGATGGCCACCACGGAGCCATCATAGGTCCACGTGCCCAGCTTCATGCTGCAGTTCTGTTCATCAAAGGGAAAGTGGGTGACGATGATCTCGCAGTAGCTTTTAAAGATGGCGGGAGGTGTCCACGTGATGTGGCCAGTGTAGTCCAGGAGCACTTTGGTGAACTTGACGATGGCAAAGTCACCATCTGCACTACAATTGGGATAAAAGAAGAACAGGGTTCCAAGTGACAGATGAACCTTCAGTTCTGCTTGGGGATGTTAACAGGAGACAGCTGTTAATTATTCAGGTGCTAATTATAGAAGCTTTCTTTTGAGCAGCATCACTTTTTATCTATGGCAGTGTTTTCCAAAGTTGCCTGATAATAAGGATCACTGGGGTGTTTAAAATATAGATTCCTGAACCTATCAAATAATATAAGTGAATGCATATACAAAACAGACTCACAGATATAGAAAGCAAACTTACGATCAACAAAGGGGAGGGGGAGGGATAAATTAGGAGTATGGGGTTAACAGATAAAAACTACTATACTTAAAATAGATAAGCAACAAGGATTTACTGTGTAATACAGGGAACTATATCCAATATCTTATAATAACCCATAATGGAATTTATCTGCAAAAACTCCAGGTCACTATGCTGTACACTAGAAACCAACACATTAACTATACTTCAATTTAAAAAAATTAAATATAGATCCCTGAGCACTGAATCTAAGCACTGAATCAGGATATTTGAGGATGAACCTGAGAATCTATAGTTTTAAACCACTAACTGGTAACACAGATCCACTGCATCCCAGATTTTTTCTTCCCAGTCCTCAGTAGTATTTGTAATGTTGAAAAAGTGAAAAGCGAAAGTGTTACTTGCTCCATCGTTTCCAATTCTTTGCAACCCATGGACTGTAGCCCACCAGGCTCCTCTGTCTATGGGATTCCTCAGGCAAGAATACTGGAGTGGGTAGCCATTTCCTTCTCCAGGGGATCTTCCCAACCCAGGGATCGAACCCAGGTCTCCTGCACTGCAGGCAGTTTCTTTATTGTCTGAGCCATCAAGGAAGCCCCACTCTCCATCTGTGCCCTCTCTGATATACTTTAAAAATTAGTTGGGGGCGCTTCTCTGGTGGCTCAGTGGTAAAGAATCCACCTGCCGATGCAGGAGACACAGTTTCGATTTCTGATCTGGAAAGATCCCGCAGTAACTAAGTCTGTGCGTCACAGGTCCTGAGTTTGTGCTCTAAGCCGCTGAGCCCACATGCCCCAGCTACTGAGTCCGCTGCGCCCTAGAGCCTGGGCTGTGCAGCGGAGAAGCCACTGCAATGAGAAGCCCCACTCTCCATCTGTGCCCTCTCTGATATACTTTAAAAATTAGTTGGGGGCGCTTCTCTGGTGGCTCAGTGGTAAAGAATCCACCTGCTGATGCAGGAGACACAGTTTCGACTTCTGATCTGGAAAGATCCCGCAGTAACTAAGTCTGTGCGTCACAGGTCCTGAGCTTGTGCTCTAAGCCGCTGAGCCCACATGCCCCAGCTACTGAGTCCGCTGCGCCCTCGAGCCTGGGCTGTGCAGCGGAGAAGCCACTGCAATGAGAAGCCCGTGCACCACAGCTGGAGAGTAGCCCCCCTCTCCTCAACTAGAGAAGCAGCCCTCGCAGCAGCAAAGAGCAGAATAATTAATTTTAAAAAAGTTTTTAAAGTTAATTGGGGGGAAAATCCAGGAATTTCAAATAAAAATATGGCTAGTGGCTCATTACTGTGATAAGCAGGTTAAAGAGGATTTTATTACCTTTGAAAGAGCTATTTAGACTCCAGTGGAGTAGGATCACAAACTCAGATGCCTCTAGGCCTGGCAAGTGAGGAAGGAGGAAGAGGTGAGCATCACAAAGGAAGAGCCCCTCACTCTGGTGAGGAAGTGTATCTGCATGGAAATGAAGGCTCCGTGTTGCCTGATGTTTAATCCTTCCTTGGAAGCTGGAAATCTAGATTTCTAATCCAAAGTTTTCATATTTTTGAATGTTGGAATTTTCTAGAGAGTCTCAAGGGCTTTCCAAGGTGGCAGTAGTGGTAGAGAACCTGCCTGCCATTGTAGGAAACGTGAAAGACATGAGTTTGGCCTGGATTGGGAAGATCCCTGCAGAAGGAGATGGCAGCCCACTCCAGTATTCTTGCCTGGTGAATTCCATGGACAGAGGAGCCTGGCAGGCTGCAGTCCTTGGGATCACAAGACTGAAGCGGCTGAGCATGCATGCAGAGGGGCTAAAAATTCAGGTTTTGATGTATTTTCCCATTTTCAAATGTTGGCAATAATTTCTCATTTGAAAAAGCAGCATGGTGAATACTGAAAAATAAGAAACTCCCCCTGCAGGTCTACTCAGCCCCCAAATGGCCTGTCCCCTAGGGCCTTGGCAGAGAGCAGGATAGTATAATTAGGGGCTGAAAGGTGGGTGGGGTCTGCCTGGCGCCCCAGGAACATATGGGATATGTCATGCCTCACTTTACAAATCAAGAAATTTTCTTCCCATTGATTTTTCCTTGGGACTGAGAAGAGGCTCCGTCCAGAAAACTATGCAGATTTAGACCCTCCCAACAGAGCTGAGGGGGAGGATGGTCTACATTTCTCCTTTCAAGCAGGTGAAACGGGATTCTCTCCCCTGTGAGAGTGTTTCTGACTGAGCTGATCTAAAGGACCAGAAGGTTTTAATTGCTTCCCTTAGATTCTAAGTGAAAAATAAACTTAACTCTGAGAGATAGACACTGCTTCCTTATCAGCACACCTGTCCCAAAGTTTACGCAAAATGATGGGATACTTTGGCTCAAGCTTGAATCCCAGGTCTGATTGGAAAATATGCAATAAAATATGAAAGTTGGGGAGGGTCACCTTAAAGGGTATCATGTCTGCTAACTAGCCCTGGCCATCTTCCCTGGAGAGTCTGCTAGTACGCACAGCCTGCTTGCCCCAGACGCGTGCTGCAGACTGTCAGGCCACAAATCCTCTACGCCAGTGTTGAATGCTGCTGCCTGGAAGGATGCTGTTTGCAACGAACATTCCCTGACAAATGAAGGGCGTATGATAATGAACGTGTCATTAAAGCAGAGTGTCTTGAATCACATTATAATTTCACAACGTGCAGTCTGTCACAGAGCCCAGCGGATGGGCTACACAGGCATCCCGGGCCATCAGCAGCACGCGGCGTCCTGGGATGCCATGAGGAGGTGATGAATAACAACCCCGGGAGGTTCAGACCTATTGGTCGGAAGGACATTTAATTCCAAGGAACTCAATTATAGGACGTTTGGGTTCCTTGGATAGTTGCCACATACCCTTCAGGAGTTCTCAGGGATTAAATGTCCCCCACCCCACCGCCCTGATTCAATTTGGCTCTGATAATTGTTTCTATTCATAACATGAGACACCATATGGCACCCCTAGCATGTCAACTTGGCTCTCAGTTTTTAAGGGTTATTTAATGTGAACAGTGGTGAAACGCCTACCGAGAGTGGCAGCCCTTCCGTTAGGGCACTTGGACTCCCCCCGCACCCCCACCTCGAGTGTCTGCCTTCTCATCCTGGCTGTTTTGCTCACTTGTTATACAGAACGATGTCTGGACGCCAGATCTTTTCTGAGGGAATGTGAATTTTTTTCACGCCACCATAGTCATCTGGATTCCATTTTAAGTTGTAATCCACCCATTGCTGGAAATGAAGACATTTTTAGTCAATGAAAAACAATGAAAAAATCTGGGGTTATCAAGCACTCTGATGGGCATGGTAATTCAGGTATGGACAGAAATTGTGCTCCAGTAAGAAGGGTTTGATTCAGAGTTTAGCTTTCACTTTGGTAAGAAGTAAAAGCAAATACAGAGCACTGAGTACATGCTGGCACAGTTATAAGCATTTCAACCCATATTCATCATTTAGTCCTCACAATGTTCTCATGAGGTAGGAGTGATTATTGACCCCATTTTACAGATGAGAAAACAAAGGTCGACCCACGTCATGCCACCAAGTACATTGCCCACCTTAGCAAAGGAGAATGACCCTATTGTGAACGTTTTCCTCAAGCAAGCAACCTCACTTTTTGAAAAGTGCTATATTTTTTATGCATTATAAAAGTTACATATTCCCAATGCAGTAAATTTGGATAACACCATGTTGAACTGTCTACCCCAAATTAATACAAAGTTCTAACCCCCTGTACCTCAGAAAGCGACCTCATTTGGAGATAGGGTGTTTATAGAGGTAATTAAGTTAAAGTGAGGTCATTAAGGTGGGCCCTAATCCAATATGACTGGTGTCTGTATAAGAAGGGGACATTGAAGAAGATGTATATTCAGAAAGAAAGTCATGTGAACATGAAGACAGCCAATTCTAAGCAAAGGAGAGAGGCCCGGAACAGGTTCTCCCTCACGACCTTAGAAGGAACCAGTTCTACCAACACCTTAATGTTGGGCTTTTGGCCTCAGAAACTGTGATAGAGCAAGTTTCAATTGTTTAAGTTGTCTAGGTTGTGACTTTGTTCCAGCAGATCTAACAAACTAATACACACAGTAAAAGCACAAAGTAAAAATAATAATAGCAATGAACACAAAACATGATCCCAGTACCCCAAAATATCTGCTTTCAATATTTTGGTACATATCCCTGTTACCCAAATTGATTTCCTGTGGGCCCATGTTAAATTTCAGAGTGAATAAGAACAACATGAACACACTTATCTAGCTGCATTACCTGTTTCAGACGAACATTGGTTGTCACGATCTGATTTACTTCATCCTGAAAAAAAGATAAGGCCCGCCTTTAGGGGGACAAGTGGGGAGTTGGAGCGGATGCTCCGGACTAGGTGATATGGGTGCTGTGGGCACTGGGAACTCTTGTCTCACCACGTTGATGAGCTGTATCAGCTGCAGGCCCACCGTGACCTCCACGACATTGCGGTGGTCTTCCACGGGCCGTACCACACTGTTGTAGCCTTCAAAGAGCTTTGCCACCAGACGGGTCTCATGTTTGGAGCCCAGGACGAGGCCAGCTGAGATGGCAAAGGACACAGTCACTGTGAGAGTCCACTCCCACACTCCACACACACTGACGTGAGTATATCTATCTATCTGAATCACTGTGCTGCATGCCTGAAACTAACACAGTATCATAAATCAACTATACTTCAATTAAAACAACAAAAAAGCAAACAAAAAATGTGCACGTGAATGTTCATGGCAGCAGTGTTTTAACAGCTATATGGTGAAAATAACACAAATGTCTATCAACAATAAATGAATAAACAAATTGTGGTATATCCACTTGTTAGAACGTTATTCAGCCATGAAAAGGAATGAAATTCTGATAGAGGCTGTAACATGAATGATCCTTGAAAACATTATGCTAAGTGAAAGAAGTCAAACACAACAAGACATGTATTGTGTGGTTCTATTTATATGAAATATCCAAAAATAAAAGAGAAATATCCAGTGTAGGTAAATCCATAGAACAGAGTCAATTAGTAGTTACCAGGGACTGTAGGGACAGGAAAAGAGGAGTAACTGCTAATGGGCCCAGGATGTCCTTCTAGGTGATGAAAGTTATGGAATTAGATAGTGGTGATGGTTGCCTAACATTGTGAATATACCTAATGCTACTGGATTGTGTACTTTATTTTATTTTGACTGTGTACTTTAAAATGGTAATTTTATGTAATGTCTATTTTACCATGGTAAACTTTACATACATATTTATGTATTTTTACCATAATTTTAAAAATAAAAAAAATATTATCTATGTCCCAATTAAGTTGCTAAGAGAGAAAATCACATATTCTGTTGACCTGGATTTGGGTCTCCTATTTGGAGCATATTTAATTCCAAGGAATCTTTACTGCGTTTTCCTTCAGGATGAAGGGCAGTATCATGCAGTATTCTCAGAGCCCACAGCCTTCAGGTGTCCACCGTGACACGGTCTTCCCTGGCGAGCAGGCAGAGACCTTCTCGCCTGAGGTTCCGAGCGGTGGACTGACTTGTCTGTGGCCACACGAGGAGAGCAGAGCTCAGGTTAGAGCGCGTCACTCTGCTCTGTGCTCCTGAACTCACTTTAATATTATGAGCGTGCTGTGGGCTGTCCTGGAAATTGTACAACTACATGTGCTGCTATTCCTATGAGAAAACGTGTTCCAAATTCCAAGTGCCTTATGAAGGATCCCTGTAACTCAAGCCCTGGTGGTTTGGGGATTGCCTGTTCAGGGCTGGGAGAGGAAGTAGACACACAATCCATCTGCCCGGATTCATGTAACCAGATCTCCCCTTTCCTATCCAGTGTAGGTAAATCCATAGAACAGAGTCGATTAGTAGTTACCAGGGACTGTAGGGACAGGAAAAGAGGAGTAACTGCTAATGGGCCCAGGATGTCCTTCTGGGTGATGAAAGTTATGGAATTAGATAGTGGTGATGGTTGCCTAACATTGTGAATATACCTAATGCTACTGTATTGTATACTTTATTTTATTTTGATTGTGTACTTTAAAATGGTAATTTTATGTAATGTCTATTTTACCATGGTAAACTTTACATACATATTTATGTATTTTTACCATAATTTTAAATATCATCTATGTCCCAATTAAGTTACTAAGAGAGAAAATCACATGTTCTGTTGACCTGGATTTGGGTCTCCTATTTGGAGCATATTTAATTCCAAGGAATCTTTACTGCGTTTTCCTTCAGGATGAAGGGCAGTATCATGCAGTATTCTCAGAGCCCACAGCCTTCAGGTGTCCACCGTGACACGGTCTTCCCTGGCGAGCAGGCAGAGACCTTCTCGCCTGAGGTTCCGAGCGGTGGACTGACTTGTCTGTGGCCACACGAGGAGAGCAGAGCTCAGGTTAGAGCGCGTCACTCTGCTCTGTGCTCCTGAACTCACTTTAATATTATGAGCGTGCTGTGGGCTGTCCTGGAAATTGTACAACTACATGTGCTGCTATTCCTATGAGAAAACGTGTTCCAAATTCCAAGTGCCTTATGAAGGATCCCTGTAACTCAAGCCCTGGTGGTTTGGGGATTGCCTGTTCAGGGCTGGGAGAGGAAGTAGACACACAATCCATCTGCCCGGATTCATGTAACCAGATCTCCCCTTTCCGCAGGTTATTGCTGAAACCACACCTTTTCCCCGGGTCAAGACAACTTTTAAAATGAAATGAGTGAAACACTTTCCCTTTCCCCGCAGTTGTGTTTATATTAACTGATCACCTCTAAGGCAGGTTATTATTATTTTTTATTATTTTTCTGCTTGGATCCTAAGTTTGGAAGGGTTTGTCAACAAAACAATTATTAAGTAAAAATAGTCCCCTTTTCTATTTCTATTGATCAACAAAAATAATCACATATCCAACTTGTTTTGGGTCGGATACTCCTGTACATGCCTTATATGTACTAAAATTTTCAGTCCTCATAACAATGATAGTATATACTGTCATTGTCCTCAATTTACAGATGGGGAAATTGAGGCCCAGATTTCATCAGTGGTGGAGCCAGGATTCACACCCTGAGTCTATACTCTCATCTCATCCAGAACTTTAGATCAACTTGAAATGACTAATGCTGTATAATGAGCTGAAACATTTTCATCCTCCCCAAAATATGTTTTAATTAGCCTGTCGAGCTTTATTAAAGGTCCTACATTCGTGTTACATTATTGAATCCTTATAAAATTCTATGAGGATTTTACTCATACTCATATGAGGATTTTTACTCCTACTTTACAGATGGGAAAACTGAGGTTGGAATAGCAGAGGCACATGTGTATGGCTCCCAGCTAGCTACAAGTGGGATTCTAAGTGGGGACAGTCAGACACAAGGACCTGTATACTTCACCACTTCCCTAAAGGCAAGCGTATTGTGTCCATTCAATGTTTTGAAACTTTCAGCGTTGCTAAAATATCTTCATTATGACCTTCCTGGACTCTGTGTGTGGAACTCCCAGCTAGCCTACCTTTTCATTTCTAGTTTCTCAAAATGTCTGAACCCAAAGGGTTCACGCAGAGCTTTCACACGGCATCTCCCCCAGACCGCTGGCATTGGAGACCCCTTAGAGCTGCATATTGTCCAAAGATGGAGCTTTGCAGTGGCCCCTTGGGACACAGAAATCCTCTGTCTTCTATGCTTTGTCTATCCCTGGCCCCACCCAGCCCACAGTGGGGGCAGGGGGAGCTGCTGGCATGGATCACTTAGAGCCTTGGCCACTGGGTTTCAGGTTATTGCTTTGATGTTATCTTGGGCTGCTTATTTTTAAGTGACAGTTTATGCCAGTTTGACAGGAAGAACATACTAGAAGGCAGCAGAGAGAGCAGATGATCAGCATTATGTGGCAGGAAAATATGCAGGCAGACCCTAAGGTCAACTAGGGAGAAGGGAGGACTGGGGAGCCAGGCCCGGGTGGCATTCCAGGGGTACCACTCCCTCCTTTGTGCCCTTGCCAAGGACAAGGGTCCCTGTGCCTTCCACCACGAGTTTCTAAGGAATTCCTGCGGAGTTGAACCCAAAGGGTTCACGCAGAGCTTTCACACGGCATCTCCCCCAGACCGCTGGCATTGGAGACCCCTTAGAGCTGCATATTGTCCAAAGATGGAGCTTTGCAGTGGCCCCTTGGGACACAGAAATCCTCTGTCTTCTATACTTTGTCTATCCCTGGCCCCACCCAGCCCACAGTGGGGGCAGGGGGAGCTGCTGGCATGGATCACTTCGAGCCTTGGCCACTGGGTTTCAGGTTATTGCTTTGATGTTATCTTGGGCTGCTTATTTTTAAGTGACAGTTTATGCCAGTTTGACAGGAAGAACATACTAGAAGGCAGCAGAGAGAGCAGATGATCAGCATTATGTGGCAGGAAAATACGCAGGCGGACCCTAAGGTCAACTAGGGAGAAGGGAGGACTGGGGAGCCAGGCCCGGGTGGCATTCCAGGGGTACCACTCCCTCCTTTGTGCCCTTGCCAAGGACAAGGGTCCCTGTGCCTTCCACCACGAGTTTCTAAGGAATTCCTGCGGAGCTCTCCATTTCTTATACCACATTCACTGGTATTCTGTTCTTTTTTTCATCCTCAAAGCAGGGCAGAGTATCACTCAAAATTTTATCACATAAAACTTAAAGGACTTGAACTCAGAATTCTAGGTTTTGTTCCCAATTCCAGTGTGGTCTGGAGAACTGGACAATTTCTTCACAGATTCAATAAATCACAGTAAATACTTTCTTTGGAAGGCAGGTATAAATTGACAAACACAGATAAACCACATAAATACTGTCAAAGTTTCCTTTTTCAGCAAAATCATGTTGGTCATTCTTATTCAGATGGTGGCAACACTAATTCATTCATATATTTGTCCAACATTTGCTGCATGCAAAGCATTGTTTGAAGAGCTTTGAGGTTTTCAGACATGAATCTGACACAGATCCTGTCTTCCTACTCTTATGGACTTCGACATTTGTCATTTACATAAATAACTGTGAACAAGTTGGAAAGCAATATGCCATAAGGAAGGTGGCAATGAAGTGCTTGAGATTCCTGAGCTGGAAGAGAGGAAAGGTTGTAATGAAAGTGCTATATAAATAGAACAGAGATCATTATGTGTTAAGCTAATACCGGAAAAAAGTGTCACTGATATAAATGAGAATTTTGCTCCCAAGGGATTGAATCAAAGTAGGGGAACCGGCCACAGTTTCAAAGTGCTCTTTTGTATTATACTGGTCCAATCTGTATTTTTATTTGGGCGACAGCTTGCTGGGTTGGACAAAAGGAATTCTGTCCTGTTCTTCCCAGGTGGCTCAGAGGTAAAGAATCTACTTGCAAAGCAGGAAACATGGGTTTGATCCCTCAGTTGGGAAGATCCCATGGAGAAGGAAATGACAACCCACTCCAGTATTCTTGCCTGGGAAACCCCATGGACAGAGGAGCCTGGTAGGCTACAGTCCACAGGGTCACAAGGAGTTGGACATGACTGAGTGACTAAACAAAACCAAATAGTCACCCTGGGTCATTCTTATCTTGACTGGTGCTGTGTCTCTTGCTACCTTTCCAATTTCAGGCTATATTTTCTGACTGTGCACATAAAAAATGGAGTCTGATCACATTCCAAAGTTTACACATCAAGGGACTTTGGGATGGTCCCGAAGTCAGCGTGGGATGATCAGTTTGTGTCTCTTAGCTTCAGTTTCCTTATAATAAAAAAAGAGCTGTTTGATTGCCTCACCTTGCCCTAAATTTCCATGAATCATCCATGGGAACTGACATCAGCAAACTCTAGGTTTGATCTACATACATATCACATACTTTAAAAAAAAAAGTTAAACATGAATTTCTGGAGGTTATCGGTGTCCTAAGAGATCTCTTAAAGATTTTTAAGTGTAAATATATCACTTAAGAATTTCCATTGAGTGTGGTGTTTGCAAACACACACACACCCCTCACCAGCAGGCCAGCTTTGGTTGGATTGAGTCCAAATCCCACAGGATATAATTTACCAGAGTTTAGGCTATTTCCTTCAACTCTGCTATTGAGAAACACTAATAACAAAACTCTTCACCTCTTTTGCCCGGAAGACCTGTGTTTGTCAGAGCAATCATGCAGAAGGGAAATCACAGCATGTCAGTTTCTCAGTTGGGATGATATCACCAGTAAACTTTTATATGAAACAATCAGCCAACATCTATTTCCCTCAACCGGAAGTTTGGGATTCAGGATAGCGTTTCAGTGGCTGTGTTGTGACACAGTCCGGAGTTGAATGCAGGTCAAGGGCTGTGCAAGATTTTTATGGGTTCAATTCAAACCCAAACCCACATAGGGTAAGGTCCTTTAAAAAAAAAAGGTAGGAATGCATTCATATGAATTTTTTTTAACTTCAGGAGTTTGAAAGATTACAAAATAGTTCCTCTCTCATGGAGAGTTTAGTTGTGGTTATGAATAAGTTTCTCCCTCCAGCACATGGAGCTGTCAATCAATCCTCTTCATTTTCAGAATTCTCCTAGAGCCATAAAAGGACTAGTTAACTGTATTACTTATGGTCATAAGTCACCCTGCTAAGTCCCTATAGTTGTTCAAATATGATAGTGACTTTGGGATGGTAGAAGAGGTGCTGAATCCCATCATCCAGGTGACCCAGATGCAGACATTGATGGAGGGAGAGAATGGCAGGTTTGCTTTGTAGCTTCTGATCGGGCAGCTCCTATTTTCGTTGGATAACCCAAGCAAAAAGTCTTTAGCCACAAACACAATCAAGCCAACATCAGTGAGAAACTGACAGAGCAGCCTGGGACTGGTGAAGCCCTGCCGTTCTGTATTCCCATCAAAGAAGCAAGACCCTGGTTTGGGGGCTTCTAGAGCCTCAGCCTCACAGGAGAGCCCCCGCCCCGGCACTTACCTGAGCAGAGTCCGAGGAGCAGGAGGAGTGGCCGCGGCTCCATGGGCTGGTGGCGGGCTGGCGGCCTGTGCGGCTCGCTGGCGCTCTCTGGATGGACACTCCGCTGCTGGAGGGTTTGGAAAGTGAGCTGGCTGAGCCGGGCTTTTGTTTTACACCACCTGTTCGTGGCGGTGACAGCTGGGCTGCCCAGAGTTCGCGAGCCCAGGGCCGAGGGCGTTAACGTTACTACAGAGTGTGCGTTTTACACGACTGCTGGGTCTTTGACAAGTTGGGTGTGTACTGCGCTGTGTTTTAAATGCACCATGAGTCTGGTCTTGATGAAAAAAATAAAAGTTTCCCTATTGGATAATTTATTTTGCATGATGAGCAACCCCCTCTCTTTAGTACAAATCAGAACCTCATCTGTGCGGGTTGATCTGATCAGGACGACTTGATCTGAGCAGATAGTCAGCTGTGTGTGTAAGACTTTATCCTAAATCACAAAAGTCCACATTCTACAAAAAAAGGAAAATTTTCTTGCTCTTGTTCCTTCTAGGCTGAGCGTGCCAGGGACTTTTATGACTGAATGAATCTGAGAAGAGTTTGGTTCATACTGAATCGGTTGCTGGAGAGAATTCCATTTTTGATTGGGTTTGGTTTTAAACAACAGTGACTTCTTCCATAAAATTGATTTTACGATGGCCCCCAGAGTGCATGTTCCAACCCGTCTCTGTAGCAGGAAATGCCTATTCCGCAATGAGCCATTAGTGACAGCAAACAGCCCACCTCCTGTGGCCTGTTATTCAAGTGAAAAGTAATTAATGGGAAAAGAGCCCCACTGCATAAGCGTTGTTCCAGGTTCCTACTTCCTGCCATCATTCCTCTGCCTACTCTCACTCAGGGAAGCAAGGAGCAGAGTGGTTCAGGTTTTCAATTTATTTGTTTAAAAAAAAAAGTCTCAAAAACCTGCCATTAGTAATTGCTCAGTCTGAGAAGGACTTTTTCTTTTTTATTTTTTACCAAAATAGAAAAGGGAGCAGTTATTTAAAGACATCCTGACCATTCTTTCCTTGCTTCCTTCTCAAATTGAATCAGGTGAACAAGGTCCTTCACCTTAAGGTCAAGAATAGCATCCTGGCCGATTCCCCTATTCCAGTGAGTCCAAAGAAATAATCAGGAAAAGAGTTGGAAGTGTATTAGAGAGAGCTTGGGATCTGCAATATATATATATATTTTCTTTTAAATTGTGGGGGATGCACTAACTGTCCACCAAAAAGATTGGTTCCCTCCTTTCCATAGCATAGCACTGTGGCTACAAGCCAGGAATACATCTTTCCACCATGCCCCTTACATCTAGATGAAGCCATGGAACTGAGTTCTAGAAAACGAAATGGGAGGGGAAATTTTATGAGACTCACCGTCCTCCCAGTGGAGCTCATCCATGCTCTTCTAGTCTCTGACTGGCTGGAAAGGACCTAGAATAGACATGACTCTCAGGGTGACCTGGGAAACCCACATGTAGAAAGGGGCTTTGATACCTTGCATCCTTGAATAACTCCTGGGAGGAGGGCAGCACATTGGCCTGGTCACCACCCAGCTCTATTTCATGAATGGGAACAAGATTTTTACGGTGCTAAGTCCATTGAAATTTGTACAGCAGATGTTTTTATCATTATTAATATGAATTTTACTCCCTTGCATTGGGGACCCTAAAATATGTAGCACAGTGGAGGAAGGCAGGAAAATTGGTATTGGAGGCAGAAAAGATGAAGATAAAGCTGCTGCTGCTAAGTCACTTCAGTCGTGTCCGACTCTGTGCGACCCCATAGACGGCAGCCCACCGGGCTCCCCTGTCCCTGGGATTCTCCAGGCGAGAACACTGGAGTGGGTTGCCATTTCCTTCTCCAATGCATGAAAGTGAAAAGTGAAAGTGAAGTCGCTCAGTCGTGTCCGACTCTTAGTGACCCCATGGACTGCAGCCTACAAGGCTCCTCCATCCACGGGATTCTCCAGGCAAGAGTACTGGAGTGGGGTGCCATCGCCTTCTCCAATGAAGATAATGGCAAATTACTTAATAAAACTGTTGTTTTGATTACTTCATGAGCATAGTGTGTGACAAGCCAGTGGCTTTAGAAGAAGTTGGAAAATGCTGAGTTAGTTTTTTGTTGTTGTTGTCTGTCTGTTTTTACCAAGCCGCACAGCCTAGGGGATCTTAGCTCCCCGACCAGGGATGAAACCTCTGTCCTGCTGTGGAAATGCAGAGTCCTAACCACTGGTGGTGGTGGTTCAGTCGCTCAGTCGTGTCCGACCCTTTGCGACCCCGTGGACTGCAGCACGCCAGGCCTCCCTGTCCTCACTCTCTCCCTGAGTTTGCTCAAACTCATGTTCATTGAGTCAGTGATGCCATCCAACCATCTCATCCTCTGCTGCCCCCTTCTCCTCCTGCCCTCCATCTTTCCCAGCATCAGTCTTTTCCAATGAGTTGACTCTCTGAATCAGGCGGCCAAGGTATTGGAGCTTCGGCTTCAGTCCTTCCAATGAATATTTAGGGCTCATGTCCTTTAGGGTGGACTGGTTTGATCTCCTTGCAGTCCAAGGGACTCTCAAGAGTCTTCTCCAACACCACAGTTTGAAAGCATCAGTTCTTTGGTGCTCAGCCTTTTTTATGGTCCAGCTCTCCCTTTTGTACATGGCTATTGGAAAAACCATAGCTTTGACTATAGGGACCTTAGCTGCTGGACCACCAGGGAATTCCCAGTTCTTGTTGGTTTTGCTTAGTGAGTCTGTGCAATGAAGAGTCAAGCTCAGACAATAATTGGCTAGTTCAAGAACAAAAATGAAGGGGATTAGAATGAGTCCAGAAATCTGGAGCCTTCTGCTTTGAACCCCAAGAGTAAGCGATAACATGAAACAGAGGCTTTGAGCAAAACAAAAGCCCATTAGGATTTCTCAACAGTCTCACCACTGTAGCAAAACTCCTTTAAGGCTGTGCTCTTCATGCTCAGGCCCATCTCTTTCCCAGAGGGCCTTCAGGGTGGTTTCCACTAAGGTGGGGGAGAGAGGCCTAGGGGTTAGGATGCAAAGAAGTAAATTGGGCTTGAGAATTGTGTCTGGTAGAGAACTTCAGGGATGCATACAGGCACGTAAAAATGAATGCAAAAGAAAATTTCAGCTTACTAAGGATTTGAAGGAATTCTATGGCCAAAGAGTTCTTGAATTCAGACTACAAAAATTTTGGTTGCCCAAGCCTTGAATGAGTCCTTCCTTGGGTGCCCAAAGACGCACCGGCCGAAAATGGGCTGCAACCTCCTTAGTCTCCGCAAGAGGGCAGTCTCCGCACTGCTCGCCTCACAGGTGGCCTTGGAGGTAATGGACCAGGTAGAACCCGGCAGGGGCCACATCCAGGAGCCACGGAGGGCAACGGATAGGGAAGCTCCCCGGAAGCGAAATCAGAGACTAACCACGGAATCACTGCAGGCCCTCCCGGTTCTCAGCCACGTCCCCTTGGCCTTCATCTCCACTTGGAGGAATCTACGGACTTCCCACACCTGCAACCCCCTGCCTGAGGGTTTTTTTGCTTTTTGTTTTTTCTTTTTTTCTGGCTCTGGGAACACAGGGGGCGTGTTGGGAATTCAAGGGAGTTAATGCCCTTAGAAGGAGTCCTCGGCAGCTGTCGGAGGATAGCATGCTCTGCACCCTTGAGTTTGTCCGTGGGATGCAGTGCTCAATGCCAGTGCTGGAAGTGGCCTGACAACCCTGCCTTTATTGGCTTGCTTCTCTCTTCTGTCTCACTCTCCCTACCCTGCCACTTCTGTGATCAGCTACTTGCAGGGTCTGCTTCTGGAGAAACTCAGATCAAGACAGAATTTCTCACCCTGTCTGGTCAGGGGATCATCACCATGTCTTCAGAATGGGTGCCTTCCCCACATTTCCAGTGTCTTAACCTATTCTCTTTAATAGGTGAACCATTGGAACTGTAGACTAAAAAATTATTAAAACTGCTATCATCCTCAAGAGTAAACCTATTTTTCTCAGTGAAAAGTTTATTAGTAAAGTAATTTAACTTTATTATAGAAAAATTAGAAAACATGAACAAAAAGAAAAATGCTTACCTATTAATCTTCTACCAGAAAACCTATAGTTAATGGGTTATTTTATATACATTCAGTCTCTTTCCATGCATTTATGTATATATTTCTGTATTTGTGTATTTATTTTCACTATCCTCAAACCCTGTTTTATGTCACTTGAAGTCAAAAGATTTCCCATAATTTTTAGGTTCTATGGATTAACCACTGCTAGGGAAATGCTATTTTCAGGAGAAGATTAATCTTTTTTTACAGTTCTACTGAGATATAATAAAATTTTAAGATATTTAAAGTATATAATGTGATGATTTGATACATATATATATACTGTGAAAGGATTCTGTCCATGTATTCATTTATTAGAAGATTTTGCCACTGGGCATTGCTGTGTGCTAGGCACAGTTCTAGGCATTTGGAATACATCAGTAAATAAAGTGAAAATTTCTGTTCTTCAGGAAAAATGCATTCTAGTTGGTGGAAATTGTCAATAAAAATATATAGTAAGTGGATTATTTAGTATCTCAACTGGTGAAAATGCTATGGGAAAAGGGGGAAATAGAGCAGGGTTTGGGGGGTCAGGACAGCTGGAGAGGAGATCACAACTCTAAGTATGGTAGGTTGGAGGGTCAGTGAGGATGAAGCATTTGAGCAGGGACTTGAAGGAGGACAGATACCTGTGTGCTGAGCGTTCTGGGCAGAATGACCAGCAGTAGAGGTCCCCAAGGGGAATGGGCCTGGTGTGCTGGAGATGAGCAAAGAACCCAGCCAGGCTGGAGCAGGGTGAGTGATGGGGAGCCGGCCAGAGGATGAGGTCAAGGGGCAGCCTTGGGGTCAAGGGGACACAGCACCGCCTGCAGACGTTTATTCTGTGTGAGATGCGGAGCCCCTGCCGGATTTTGAGCAGGAGAGACATGGTCTGACACGTTTTGTAAGAGGGCAATTCTGGCTCCTATGGTGACAGGAGCTGCAGGGGAGACAATTTAGGGGCTACACAACAATCCAAGCAGTAGATGGTGGTGGATGAGACCTGA